CGCTTACGTTTACAAGCTTGTAACAAAATTTCGTGAAACACAATCTGTTAAAGACCGCCCACGCTGTGGAAGACCAAAAGTAGACGACGTCACAGAATTAGAAGTATTAGGCCGTGTAAATGTAGATGGAGTAACATCATTAAGACAACTTTGTAATAAAAGCAATGTTCCTAATAGTACAATTGCCACAATTTTAAGACGACATAAATTCCATCCTTATAAAATGCATATTAAACAAGAGTTAGCAGAGGACGATTTTGATAGACGAATCCAATTTTGTGAAGTAATGATAGAAATAATCGCTGGAAAGGATCAATTTTTGAAGAATATTTGTTTCAGTGATGAGAGCACTTTTTCTCTGAATGGATTTGTTAATAAACACAATGTAAGATGTTGGAGTAAGTTGCTCTAATCCTAATAAAATTCGCTTTTAATAAGATTTTTACGATGTCTTAAGACTTGACTTTTCCCGAACTTTGCTTGTAATTAACTCCTAAACGGCTCACTGTATCAACTTCTGATTTGAACCAAAAGATTTCTTTTTTTATACCCTTTCAATTGATATACTACAATATGCGGGGTTCTATTTAAAAATTTTGAGGGAGGCCCCCTGGAAGGTCCCCCTAAGAGGTGGAAACATCCGCAATCCCCTTAAAAGAGTAGCCCCTCAAAACGATTGAATACGTATTTCGCGATTTTTCATAATTTCGAACCGTTTCCAAAATATAAAGGTGTTTCCAGACTTTATGGACACCCTGTATATGTATATATATGTATTCACGTGTGAGTTTTTTTAACTAAAATTTCAATTCGTAAATTCGTAAATTCATATAGGATGCTATATTTGCATCACGCATAAGAAAGACCTCATATACTCGCCTACCTAATTTTACGATATTTTGAATAAAACAGGAGTTTCATTGGCCAGGAGTCAAACCTGGAATCTCTGGTTTTCAACATATACAAGATGTCCCGTACTGATTAGTAAATCTTGCAGAATGTGAAAGAGGGTAAATTTTGAACTAAAAGATCCTTTTTCAATTTTGGCGTAAACCATTATTTACCGAGTTATTAACTGTTAACCCTCTATGGGCCGAACTTTTTTATTAAATATAAAAAAATTTAAGACGTATACATCATTGTGTGAAAAAAACTAAAACTATTTGGTGAAATGTAGATATATTAGCTTGTGACTTGAAAGTTACATGGGCCCATAGAGGGTTAAAGATCCCCAATGAGACGGCACACACCCAAAGTATGCAGGGACGTCGCGCGCTACGGGATTCCTCGCGCTTGTTCCGATTACATTTCTTCTGTTACAACTTCATTCTACTATGTCACATTAAGTAATACATAAAAAAATAAATAAAAACAGTTAGAAATTAATCAACTACTTAACTTATTTAAAAACATTATTGATATATTATACAAAATTAATGAATACATAAATAAGAAATGTTAATCGTATCTTTTTACGTTTTTATCATTTGAAAAAATAACTATATATATATACACAGAGTGGTCCATTTTAATCAATCTATTGGAATATCTCACAATCCTTTAGTTTAGTTCAAGAGAAAAAATATTTGAGACGAAAGTTGCTTAGTCATTAAGAGGAAAGAATATGGTGTTCTTGGTTGAAAAAATGTCCATAACGTCAAGTCAAGGTTATCCTAAACTTTTTAAATTAAAACTCCTAATTTTTATTACATACTCATGTAGCTGACTTCAAGACCTTTTCAAAACACTATAATAAAGTATTTTTTTATTAAGTATTTTATAAGTCATGGGACTTGAAAATTGACAGGTTAACGTTGAAGAAACAGTCATTACTCACACCCACTATTGTAAAGTAATTAACTATGAGATAAAGAAAAGATGGTAACATTGGTTAACACGTTGCCCTCAAAAAGTGGCTTTCACTTAGACACCGTTCAATTGGACATGTTGCAAATACACACAAAATGTTAGACACCTTGCACTTGGACACGCAAAGAAGTGCGCACCGTTCATTTAGGCTTCTGTGTTCTATTTGCAACGTGTTCAATTGAACGGTGTCTAAGTGAAGGCCACTTTTTGAGGACAACGTGTTTTTTTTTTTTTTTTTTTTTTTTTTTTTTTAGTAAGGTGAAATGCGTTATGCACCCCCGTCCTGTGGGGATTTGTGCGGGGAGTGTGGGACTCGCACCCACTAAAACCCCTTAATGGCCTCCACCGGACTTAGTAAGGGATCCTGTGGCAGCCAAAAGGCTATTACTTCTCCAGGACCCCCCTAGTCCAAGACATGTCTCCAAACGGACAACGCCCTCTATCGCCGTTGCCTTTGGGGTTGCGATAGGAGGAGGGGGCCATAGCCCTCCTCGAAACCGCCCCTCTCTGGGGACCTGTGCAATGGCGTGTTCCCCAACTTGCCACACCAAGTCCCCGCCCCCCGTGACCGAAGTCAGGAGGGGTCAGTACAATTCTTCGTATGTCTTACCCGCGACCAAGCAGCCCCTTGACAGGGGCTGGGTCCAGGGTTCCCGCCCGAGCCGTGATCCCTCCACCCCGAGCACGGAAACTGCCCCCAAGTCGAGCCTACTTGCTCGACTTGGAGGACTTAGGTCCCGGCTTCTGTCGTCCGGTAGTAGGGGAGGTCGAATCACCTCCCTTCTGCCGCTTGGGGGAGGGCTCCTTAATGGAGCCTCCCCCTGAACCTGGCGCTTTTTGCGCCGCACCCTTAGATGACCGGAGCCCAGCGACCTTGCGGTCTCTGGTCCCGGCCACACTCCTTCTGGGGAGAGGGGGAGGCATCGCGCCGTCCTTACCCCCTTGTTCCCCGGTCTCCGGCTCTTTCCGGAGACCGGAGGGCTCCTTACTAGAGGCGGACGCCCCAGTGGCCTCCCCCCTTTCTTCCACGGCGGGCTTTGTGCTCTCGGAGGAGGCGGACGAAGGAGGAACATCCTCCCGCCCCTCGCTCTCTTCCGGGGCACAGCCGGGTCATGCCCTCCTCCGGGGAGAGGAGATAAACCCCCTTTTCATCCTCCTCCCAGCCGGAGGAGTCCCCGCCGGATCCGGCACTCCAGGCCCGCCGCTTCCTCCTCTTCTTCGGGGAGGGGTCAGGTACCGCTGCCTCCCCGCCTTCCTTGTCACCGGATGGTAGCGGTGGCGCCGGAACTCCGGCGCCCCGCCTGGTGGCTACGTTCTTTTTTGGTATGGGGGCGCAACTTGCGCCGCCCATCCGATGGTTCGCTGGCTGCCCCCGGCTCGCACATAGAGTGCACTTAGGGGCAGCCCTACAGCTGATGGCGAGGTGGCCGTCTTCCTCGCAACGGTAGCACGCCGTGCTCCGATCTACACCGGAACACTTGCGCGCCACGTGTCCGTACTCGAGGCACCAATAGCACTGCATTCGCCGTGCTACCAGCGCCTCGACGGGGAGGCTACACCACCCCCCACTTCTATCCTTTTCGCTCCTACGACCCGCCGGGCTGCCCTCAGGAGCATACGGATCCACAAAGTTCCGTACCCGACGGGGGAGTAGCGAACTAGCCCAGTGCAAACCTCACTGGGCTAACAATTACCTGCCGCCGCTAATGCGACGGCAATGTCCTCCGCGGAGAGGGAGGAACCACGTTCCGCACGCGAACTTCCGCGTGCTTTACGGGACGGGTGAATTTCACCCCTTCCACGCCCTTAAAAGCTTTTGACGCTCTCTCAACAAGGACGTCGGCCTTCTCCGCTCCTCCAGGCCCGGGTACCTGGAGGAGCATGCCACCGTTGGCCGCCCTTTTTATCCGGAGGCCGGAAATTCCGACCTTCTTTAAATTGACGGCGGCCGCCGCTTTCCTCATTGTCTCGGCATAATTGCCGCCCTCCCCCACGGTAAGGAGGACGGCAGCCCCAGTGGAGAGCCTGCCGAGCTTTGCTCTCTCCGCCCCCCCGGAGCGCCGATTAGCGCCCACGAGAGCCGCGGGAGAGCGACGTTTCTCCTCAGGGGAAGGAACCTCCTTCTCCTTTCTCCGCGCCTTGCGCCCCACAACCGTTGCCCAGGTGGTCGGAGCGGATACGGCGGCAGGCGCGCTCGCAGGTTGAGGGGCGAGCTCTCTCCTGATTAGA